AAATTCCTTGAGGGAGAAATATCAAACGATAAACACATTCGTGCTTGACCCAACAATCTCCTGTCTAGACAACTACCTCAAATTAACATCTCCAAAGCTGAGTGAAACAATGAGCATATGAAATCACTCATTGTGGCCTTGTATATTATGTTTCTATAATGTGGACTTGAATGCCATACGCCCCAGAAGCCCATGCGTTGATGGCTTGGTCCTAGCTCATGCTATGCTTTTCCTCCTATGGATAAGTCTGGATTTTAGCATGGAATAAGGCAATCACTATTAGATTTTTTTGATTGGAAAGATATTTTATTTCTTTTTGTCTTTAAAATTTTAATTATAAGCCAGGTGTGGTGGGCACATCCTTTAATCACAGCACTTGGAAGGCAGAGGCAGGCAGATCTCTATGAATTCAAGGCCAGCCTGGTCTACATAGTGAGGTCCAGGACACCCAGGGCTATGTAGAGAGACCCTGTATCATGCAACCCCCACACCAAAATTTAAAAATATTATTATTTTATTTAATGTCTAGAGGTATTTTGCCTGAATGTATATGCGACAGATGCCCAGGAACTGGAGTTACAGACAGTTGTGAGCTGCTTTGTGGGTTCTGGGAATTGAACCTGTGTCCTTCTGAATGAGCAGATAGTGTTCTTAGCCATTGATCCATCTCTTAAGCTCTACCTTTTGTGTTTAATAGGAGACAGAGTCACTATCCTTTAGTATCCCAAGATTCATTGGCATTTGGGATTCGGAAAGGTATTTGCAGACTGGCAAGGAGGCTCAACAGATAAAGGCATTTGCTGTTGAGCCCAAGGACCTGAGTTTGATCTCACATGATGGAAGGAGAGAACCAGCTTCTTCAAGTTCTTAACATGTGCACACAGCATGCCAACTCACAAACTCTAACACACACACACTCCCTCCATCCTCTGTCCCTCTCAAAAAAAAATTTGCAAGGAAACCTCATTTGCATTCTCAATCCTTTCTCTCTGTTCCCCCTAGAAACAGGCTAGCGGCAAGTCCCTCCATATTGGGCCTCCCAGTGTGGTGTGTGTGATGTGAAGTCCCCACCTCCTTCTGGTAGTGTTTCTACCTTTAAACATAACCTGAGCTGGGAAGCCTGAGGTTAGAGGGCTGTGAGTTCCAGGCCAGTTAGGGCTACTGTCTCAAAAATAATCAGTCAGAGACAAGTCAAGAAAGGTTAGGACTCATGTGTGGTTGTAGTGTAAGATTGGAGTTCTCTTACATGGGATAATGGTATCACAGTTTTACAGAATGCCCCCACTTTGATTTTTAAAATTTTTTTTTAATTTATTGTATATATATAGTGTTCTGTCTGCATTTTGCCTGCACACCAGAAGAGGGCATCAGATTTCATCATAGATGGCTATGAGCCACCATGTGGTTGCTGGGAATTAAATTCAGGACCTCTGGAAGAGCAGGTAGTGCTCTTAACCTCTGAGCCATCTCTCCCATGCCCCTCCCCTGCCCCCTTTGACTTTTAGCAATCTGAGAACAATAGCTGTGGAGAGAAATAAATGCTGTCTATAACTAGTGGATAAGCATAGATAGAAAATATTTAAATGGGGAGAGAAAGTAAGCCTGGCAAACAGCCATCACCAAACAAAGGCTTTGTGCATATGAAGCATACACTCTACCGACTGAACCACATCCAGCCATATAACTTTAATATATAAAGTTCCTATTTGTGTATAAGAACCTGGCCTCGTGGGGCTGGAGAGATGGTTCAGCGGTTAAGAGCATTGGCTGCTCTTGCAGAGGTCCTGAGTTCAATTCCCAGCAACCACATGGTGGCTCACAACCATCTGTAGTAAGGCCTGGTGCTTTTTTCTGGCCTGCAGGCATACATGCAGGCAGAACACTGTATACATAATAAATAAATAAATCTGAAAGAAAGAAAGAAAGAAAGAAAGAAAGAAAGAAAGAGGCGACCCTGGCCTCCTGTAGTACCTTGACTTCGTCTTTTGTTTTTGGAAACAGAGTTTCTCTGTGTAGCCCTGGCTGTCCTAAAACTCACTCTGTAGACCAGGCTGGCCTCAAACTCACAGAGATTCCACTTGCCTCTGCCTCACGACGCTTGGAATAATGGGATTAAAATTGTTCACCACCACCACCTATCATACTTTGTCATCTATAGGTGAAACATCCAGAAACAAGCCTGTAGTTTTCTGTTGCCTTAGTAGAGAGACAGTGACCATATAAAGTAGAGCCACAGGAAATGGCTGTTTCTCCAATGTATTTTGAGCCAGTTGCTGCAGTTTTAGTGCCATTGCCACCTATACTTCCAGAAGAATCTTTCCTGCTGTCTCTAAACTTTGGGAGGAGTTGAAACAGGCAAACCCAGCAAGTACTTGGCTTTCCAGATTGTTGCTTCAAAATCCATAATTTCAGGTTTTCCTAGTAACTACAGTTTGACTGTTTAGGAGTTTTACAGTCCCAAAACATTGTTGTTTTTGTCTCTTTTTCTCTCTTCCACATGGATTTATGCATTTTTAACAAGGGTACTTTAAAGACATTTTATTGGATTTTCAGGAAACAGCTCAAGGCGAGCATATGCGATCAATCCATCATCCTTTACTAGAGGTCAGCCCAACGCTCTTTAGTCTCTTCCCCATCTACCAGTTTGAAAGTTATTCTTCCTTTTTACTCATTTAATGGGTTTTCTTTAAAACTTTAATAGTGTTGTCTGACGTAAAAAGTGAGAGATGATCAATACCCCATCTTCTCCCTGGATAATGCAAGCCTGGAGAATGCTTTGATCTGCCCGTCCCCATTTCCTACATTACTTTGGTCTAATATTTTAGTTCCCCATTGTTCGAAGTTGGCCCATCATCAATATGTATATTTTTAGCAACCCCACTTTTGTGATATGTGCTGGACCCTGTACTAAGAAAACTAGAGTGAATTAGACATGCTAAATTACATATGAATATACCTTGTTGGATAGAACTACATGAAATTGCCAATATTTCAGTTTTAGTCATAAAAAATGATTTCATTCATATGCATCCCAAAGCAAATACACATGTACCTCCAATCATGCCAAACACGTGCACCCTGAAGCCAGGAGGTGCCTGCAAGCAATGACTATGCCTCATATTACCCTTCCTGTTTGCCCAGGTTCTGACAGAAAGACAGAAGCTACTCTGTGTGTTTCAAGCACGAAAGTCTTCAGTGCAGAGATGAAGAACACTTGGGAGCTGGAGAGACAGCTCAGCAGGTCAGAGCATTTGCTGCTCTGTGAAGGACCTGGGTTCAGGTCTCAGCTCCTGCACTGGGCAGCTTGTAACTGCTTGTAACTCTGGTTCCAGGGGATCTGATGCCCTCTTCTGGCCTTCTGAGGCATCATCCCCCTACACACATATACACAGATTTTTAAAAAAAAAAACAACTCTTAGAATGAAAAAAAAAATAAAATTTCAAGACTAGCTGATACAGAAAAGCAGGCCTGGACTGGAGGTTTATTTAAAAGACATTATAATATAGGCTAAAGCATGGCTGTTAGGAGAAAGAGAAGTGTTCAGGAAAAAAGGAAGACATGCTCAGGTGTGGGTGTGGGCTCCTCAAGGGAGAGGCAAGGATCCTTGCTTTTACAGTAGTCATATAGGGCTTTGGTGAGGTTTGAAGTAACTCTCTTATCACTGGGTAGTTCCCGTGTGTGTGTGTGTGTGTGTGTGTGTGTGTGTGTACCTGGCAGATAGTATCACAATCAATAACTTAAAAAGTCTAGCCCATGGGGACACAGTGTTGTTTAAGGTTTCAGGTAGTGTCTGGGAAAAGCAGTGAGGCCCTGCTCAGGACTCTATATTCGCAGCTATTTTAACCTAAGGCATCTTCATCTGAAAGGAACCCTAGCTATGTCTGCAACCTTTTTAGCAAGTGGTAACCGTGTAGGTATTCCTGCTTCTCAGCTGAGAGGCTTCACTCAGATTCTAGAAGGAGCTCTGTCCCTTTTGTGTCCCTTCAATTGCCCTGTCTCAGGATTGCCGATGTGAGCCATCATGCTGTGTTAGGCAGTGCTGGAGATCAGTCTCTGGTCTTTGCGCATGCTGGGTTAGTACTCTATCAACAAACTTACATCCCTCTGTAATGACTGAAGTGCTGGGGCTGTGGTGGTTTCTGCAGCTTCTTCTTTTTTCTCTCTCTCTTTTTTTTAAGTGTTGGTTTTTGAGATAGGACCTTGTATTGCAGCCCAGGCTAGCCTCAGACTTGAAATCCTTCTGCCTCCTCTTCCCCTTTGCTGTGATTATAGGCACACATTCCCATTCCTGGTACAGAGGCCTGAGAAGCAAGGAGCTCAAGGAATGGGCAAGGTTTTGCGTGGAGAGAGGGGACACGGGCTGAACTGGGTCACAGTGGAAGACGGATGGGAGAAGAGGACCTGCGACTGCGGCAGGCTCTGAATGCAATCGAGGAGAGAGGGATGGAGGCTGTGGCCGTGTATGAATGGAGGTGAGCGGACTCATAGGAGGCCTGGAGCACTTAAGAGCAAGGATGGAGCACTCAGGTGTGTATGTGCAAGCGTATGGAGGAAGCTTGTCTGGGCTTCCAGGCTTCCCCTTCTTAGAAGCTCAGAGTGGTAGAGTCCAGCCTTCCCTGTGAGTGAGGAGAATCCTTCCTGTCTAACCCCTGAGGCCCGAAATCTCAGATGCAGCCCACCCACCCTTCTTCAACTGGACCTGGCTCCTCCCGCTCAATGCAGGGTTATTTCTCACACGCAGAGACAGGAGGGTCTGTAGCCCTGTAAATGCTGGCTCTTCTCAGGCTGCCGTAGTGGCCATGGTGGAGCAGATCAAGTCTGCCCTGGTTCTAGCCAGTCCTGGATACTATTCCTTTGCCTAGCTGGCTAGGGCAGAGTGCCCTGGATAGTTGAGTAAGAGCAGGGCCTTCAGTAGACAAACAAGTGGTGCCTATTGGCAGGCGGGTCAACAAGCAAGTGGGGAGGCTGGAGGTCACACGATTTGGGGGGTAAGTTCTGTCCACTCTTAGTAAAGGCTCCAGGAAGCCACTTCCCTACTGGGCAGTGTCCTGAGGCTGGGAAGCTTATTAGCGCTCAGAGCACCGGGAAAAGGAGAGAGGGGATGCTCAGAGCCAACTGGGGTCATCCTTCTTTGAACCTCCACGTGGTGTTTGCTCAGAGCAATTGCTGTCAGAGTCCCAGACTCCTGGAGTATAAAACAGAATGTCTGTTCTCTGTGCCCAGAACTGAGCAGGTAAGCCTGCATGGCAGAGGCATAGTGGGGGTGGTGGGGATGGTGGGGGTGGTGAGGATGGTGGTGGTGGTGGGGGGTGGCTGCCATTGTAGGGAGGAGCTGCTGGTATGGGCCAACAGAGTACCTGCCTCCTGCATCTTGGGTATGCCAGTTTCTTAGCCACAAAGTGGGCTTAAAGGCAGGAAGACAAACACACAAGGGAGCTAGATTACCCCAAGGTGGGCAATCCCTGTAGTGCAGCCTGAGTTCCAGGATCCCTACTTTGTGACTGAGGTAAGGAACAACCTGCTTCTGTTGTGTGAGGAAGACATCTCTTCCATCCCAACGCCAACCCCATGCCCCACGTACCTAGTTAAGGTCTCTGGAGCCTTATACATGATGTTATCTATACATGAGAGAAGGGTTATTGGGATTTGGAGCAGCTAGCCCCTAGAGCAGGGTTTCAAGATCTAGTCCCTTCCTTTGCCCCTTCTCCTGATCTAGCCTCCGCCTACCTTCCTTTTCAGAGCGCATCGTGGTAAGCATGGCTGCAGTCATCACTTGGGCCCTGGCCCTCCTCTCAGGTGGGGTCTTCTGTCTGACTTCAGTGTGGGGTTGGGATGGAGGTTGAACTGGGGACCCAGTCTTTAACCATCTCATGCTTCTCTGCAGTGTTTGTAGCTTCTCAGGCACGGAAGGATTTCTTGGACCACTTCAGACAGAGCAGCGGGGACAAAGACATGATGGGCCAGCAGCAGAAGGTGGCACGGGAGTGAGTGATCAGGCCTCGGGTGTGGTGAGGGTCCCACACAGCCGTGTTGGGGAATGGTTCTTCAGCTCTGTGGTTCATATGGAAGCGGAGGGAACCAGTTATGCTTCAACTGGCAAGCATGGCTTAGCCATGTTGGTCACCCTCTGCCCAAGTGTCTCCTGCCCTGCTGCCCTCTTTCCCATTGAGGTGTGGCACCTGAGATTAGCAGGCCATGGAATGACAGGATGGTGTGTCTCTGGACATGTCTGTGATGTCTTCTTGGATGGCGCTGTAGGACTGAATTGAATTGTCCACACAACGTCGTGTTTGCGCTCTGAATGGGAGGATGTACTTGGCTGGGATTAGGACTAAAGACCCTGACTCTCCGTGTCATTCCTCCTGTCCTGGTGTCTACAAAATATTGCTGGTCCATGGCTCTGGGGCAAGGAGGATGTTCAGGGCTAACAGTCTAATGGCCTGGTTCTCTACCTTTCTCCTCCAGGAGCACGAAAAATAGCTTAGAGCAAGACCTCTACAATATGAACAACTTCCTAGGAAAGCTGAGCCCCTCAGGTGGGCCGGGGAAGGAGCCTCACCCACCGGCACAGGATCCAGAAGGCATGAGGAAGCAGCTTCAGCAGGAGCTGGGGGAGGTGAGAGCTCGCCTGGGACCCTACATGGCTGCGAAGCACCAGCAGGTAGGCTGGAACTTGGAGGGCTTGAGGCAGCAGCTGAAGCCCTACACGGTGGAGCTGATGGAGCAGGTGGGCCTGAGTGTGCAGGAGCTGCAAGAACAGTTGCGTCTGGTGGGAGAAGACACCAAGGCCCAGCTGCTGGGGGGCGTGGACGAGGCGCTGAGCCTACTGCAGAAAATGCAAAGTCGGGTGCTGCATCACACAGACCGGGTCAAAAAACTCTTCCACCCTTATGCCGAGCGCTTGGTGACCGGCATTGGGCACCATGTGCAGGAGCTGCACCGCAGTGTCGCTCCTCACGCGGCTGCCAGCCCCGCTCGACTCAGCCGCTGTGTGCAGAGCCTGTCCCACAAACTCACACTCAAGGCAAAAGACCTGCACACCAGTATCCAGCGCAACCTGGACCAGCTGCGCGAGGGGCTCAGTGCCTTTGTCCGCACCAGCGCAGATGGGGCCGAGGCTGGAGCCTCCCCGGACCCCCAGGCACTCTCTGAGGAGGTCCGCCAGAGACTCCAGGCTTTTCGACATGACACCTTCCTACAGATCGCTGCATTCACTCAGGCCATTGACCAGGAGACAGAGGAAGTTCAGCAGCAGCTAGCACCACCCCCACCTGGCCACAGCGCCTTCGCTCCTGAGTTGGAACACCCGGACACGGACAAGGCCCTGAACAGACTGCAGAGCCGACTGGATGACCTGTGGGAAGATATTAGTTATAGCCTTCACGACCAAGGCCATAGCCAGCTGGGAGAGCCCTGAGGATCTCCTGGCTCAGGTTCATTCCCCAGCTCTCTGTCTGGGGATCCTTAGATCCTGAGCCTCTAGCATGGTCTATTGGTCAGAGGGTGGAGGGTTCTACACAGCATAGGTGAGGCTACCAAATGGTGCTGCCCAAACCTATCCAGCCTTCTCAGCTCCCCCACTCAGGTGCATTACACTCACCAGGTTTCGCAAACCCAGCTTCTGGTGCTCATTTGGGAAGCCACACGAGTTGCAACATTTGGGGTGAAGGGCGAGGAAGATTTTGTGTGTGTGTGTGTGTGTGTGTGTGTGTGCACATGGGAGCCTGTCTGCAAGCTGGTACATGACAGTGCTGGAAGCCTGTGCCACTATAACCTGGAGTTTGGCTCCTATTACTTCTGGCTGCCTGACGGGCACTGTTAGAGCTGGCCCACAGAGAGGAGCTCTTGTCTTCCCAGGGCTGCCATGAGAGCTTCTGTTGGAAGAGATCAGGAGGAGAAAGTGATAGAGAGAGCATATTATGGTGTGTGCAGATCCCACTAGAAGTGCTGCCGGTGGATCAGTGATGCAACGGGGCAGAGCCCCTATTTCCTTATGTAACTCCGCACCCATAAAGGGACTGAGCCCTCCACACAGCCAATACTTCTAAAATCCCCTAGGGAGCATGCTGTATGCCCCCTCCCATCTTCCATCTCCACATCCTGACTCTCGGGGTGAAACTGACATCTTTTGTTGAAATGAAATAGATGCTTGTGATGGAGGAAGTTTGTTGGCCTGGTGTGACTCTCATTGGACTGTGTCCGAGAGCAATTGCCTTCCCACTGCCCCAGAACACGTCCACCCTCCACTCTTAGCTCTTTGCTCGCTCTTTCTCATTGTCCCTTTTCCGTTCCTGGTATGTCAGAGGGGTCCAACCTGGGTGAGTTCTGCCACAGGACCCTTGGCTCAACCACAGCTGTTACATGTGGGGAGTGAGGCAGGTTTGACCCTGGTTCTGCACCAGTCTTGTTCCACACCCTACTCATCATAGGAGAGGGTGCGTGGAATACAGCCTGTCACTGGACAAACATGCCCTTATAACCTGCAATCACTGAGGGATCCTGTCACCCTTGCTCCTGGTGTTCTGGATTCCGTAGGGATTTTTGACCCTCTTGGGATCCGTACACTAACTTTCCCCACCCTGTCTCTGAGACAAGATCGCACCATGTAGATCAGCTTAGCCTCAAATTCATAGACATCTGCCTACCCCCCCCCCCAAGTGCTGAGGTTAACAGTATATGCCACCGTGCTTGGAGAACCCCAAACTCCTAACTCCCCTCCTTCGTACACACACTCAGCAAAGATCGCCTGGGACCAGTGAAACTGGATGAGGTGGGAGAAATAGGCAAGCATAAAAGCAGCTGTCTTTCTATACTTCTGCCCAGCACCCTGTCCTCCCTGCTCAGCCTGCCTCAGCCTGCCCTGCCCAGGATTCTTCATATCCCGCCACCACAGACTTTATGTGAAGCTGGGCTCTACGCGATCACACACTTATCATCCCTCATATTGTAAACGTAGTCAGTTTCAGCCACGGAACTGGGTCCATGACGTGGAGAGTAAGTGCTAGAAAGAAAACTTGAAAGAAACCGATAAAGCAGGGTGATTTGTTAGGAAACAGGGAGAAAGAAACGGGTGAGTGAAGTGGGGGAGAGGGGGAGTAAGATCAGGGCGGTGCTTATGAGGACAGAAATAGGGAGCTGGGGGAACAGGGAGGGAAAGAGGGGAGAAGAAGCTGAGCCCTGGAGAGGGGACCCAAGCAAGGTCTGGCTCATCATGAAGCAAGCAGAGTTTGGAGGGCACAGCCAAGGGGATTCCAAGGCAAGCCCTGTCGTCAGGCATTTTTACATAGACTTGGGGACCAACGGTTAGGCTCCGTGTGTGGTGGAGGCACAATCAAGGAGCCAGACACTGACTAGAATGCGAGTTCCGGTATTCCAGTCTGGCTACGGAAGTGCAGTACGCGTGACCCAGGAACCGGAAGTCAGATACTGACTTGGTAGGAGCAGGATCCGTGGCCTCTTTAAGAAGGGGCGGGAACTTTAGGCAGTAGCTGAAGGAAGTGAGGTCACGCGGGCGCCGGAAGCCGGAAGCTGCTGTCTGAGAAGCGTGTGGGGTGATGTCCGCCAGCGGGGCTGTGCAGCCCGGTCCCTCGGGGCCGGGGGCTGCAGTTGGGCCCTCGCCCTCCGCGGCCGGATCGCCAGCCACGGGGCCCTTGTTCCGGCCCCTCAGCGCCGAGGACGAGGAGCAGCAGCCCACCGAGATCGAGTCGTTGTGCATGAACTGTTACCGTAACGTGAGTCAGGGGCGCGGAGTCTGGTGCCGGGGGACTACCCAGGCGGGCACCCAGAGTCTGTCCAGGCGTATAGGGAGGACAAACGAGTTTCACTCATTCTTTCCCTCGCTGCTTCTGCTTCCTCAGGGCACGACGCGCCTTCTGCTCACCAAGATCCCCTTCTTTAGAGAAATAATCGTGAGCTCCTTTTTCTGCGAGCACTGCGGTTGGAACAACACGGAGATCCAGTCAGCAGGCAGGATCCAGGACCAGGGAGTGCGATACACTTTGACCGTTAGGGGCCAAGAGGTGGGTATAGCCCAGAGGAGGTACTATCCACGGTTTCAGAGAGAGCTTTGAAGGCCAGAATCAACAGCTCCGGTCCGGGTCACCGCACCTTCAGTAAATCCCTGTGGCCAAGCCTTGAGTGTCCCCCTTTGACTATGGTATTGATGGTGCTGCCCTGTACTCGGCGGTCCTGTGGTTAAAGTGCTTTGAATTTTGTGACGGAGTGAGTGAGTAGGCAGGACTTTATGGGCATTCTGGCTCGCCCCATATTCCTGTCCTGAAGTAGTTTGGACGTTTCTGAATGGAAGGGAGAGAGAAGAAACATCTAGGCTGGCGTCTGATAGAGAAGATGGACTGGTTGCTTCCCAGAGAAGCCACATTGTTGATCTCTCTTGCTAGAACGTTTTTCCTTTCTGTCCAGGACATGAACAGAGAAGTGGTGAAGACAGACTCTGCCACCACATGGATCCCGGAGCTGGATTTTGAAATTCCAGCCTTCAGCCAGAAGGGAGGTGAGTCTTGAGATGGGGTATGTGAGCTGTTCACACATTCCTGAAATGTTAATTTTTCTTGCAAAGCCTGGTTGCCAGGTCAGGCCTAGTGCCTTGTGTTTGGCCGTGCAATTATAGTGGATTTTTGGCCGTTCGTGCTTTAACGTGAGTAGAAAGTTATGGCAAAATCACTTGAGAGTAAGGGTGGTTGGGAGTCCCAGGAAGACAGACTGTAGTGCACTTATTTTAGAACTTGACAGATGAGGGAAGCAAAGCCTGCAGGGTTGAGGTAAAGCGTGAAGGGTCATGGGATAGCAAGCTAGCACTCACTTGTCTTGCGCTTTGTTCACAAGCTCTGACCACCGTTGAAGGATTGATCAGCCGTGCCATCTCTGGCCTGGAGCAGGACCAGCCCACACGACGGGTGAGTAGGGGTTTCCTCAAATTGCAGCAGCAAGGAATTATCGTTCGTGTTAAAATAGAGTCAGCCTCTTCCATGTATCTGAACTGTTGGAGCGGTATATTATTTGTATTTTGATAAATAAATCTTGCCTGAAGAGCAGAGGCAAAACTAAAGCCACTAGAGGTCAGGTAATGGTGGCACGCATCTTTAATCCCAGGATTTGGGAGGCAGAGTCAGATGGATCTCTGTGAGTTCAAGACCACCCTGGGCTGCGCAAGATCAATGCAGAAATAAGTGCAGGTGGTGGTACTCACACCTTTAATCCCAGTACTAGAGGGAGTCACACCTTTAATCCCAGTACTAGAGGGAGTCACCCCTTTAATCCCAGCACTAGAGGGAGTCACCCCTTTAATCCCAGCACTAGAGGGAGTCACCCCTTTAATCCCAGCACTAGAGGGAGTCACCCCTTTAATCCCAGTACTAGAGGGAGTCACCCCTTTAATCCCAGCACTAGAGGGAGTCACCCCTTTAATCCCAGTACTAGAGGGAATATAAAATGAGAGGAGAGAGAGGCTGTTTATTTTAGTTTTGTAGTTGTCCAGCCTTGGTAGAGACCAGACTTCTTTTGTGGCTTGACTGCTTTGTTTTTCTGGTTTTCAGGTTGAACCCTAATATCTGTCTCTGGGTTTTTATTATTCGTGTTACAAACTGTGTCTGATCAAATGTTGGGGAACTTTCTGACAAAGCACGTAAAGGTGCTGTTTCTCTCTGTCTCTCCCCCATGTATTTTCAGGTTCCCCTTAGACCATGTAAAATTACCTTGGAGAAGCTTTTCAGTTATCTACAGACTCCTGGGGATTTTATATCTATATTTATTATTACAGAAATAATGTAATTGCTCATGTAGTCATCTGTCTCCCTAACTGACTAGAGAGGCATGACAAGATTTTGAATTTTAAGGAATGTATTTTTAACTGTGTGCTCTGTGCCTGTGTGTGGGTATGTATATATGATGGCAGATGCCTTTGTAGGCCAGAAGCAATGAATCCCCGTGGAGTGGAGTTACAGCTAAATGGTTGAATAAGTAGGAAAATAAGCCCTACCTCCTGCCCTAGCACTGTTTATAAACCTCAGATTTGCTGCTGTAGCCCACTGTGAAGTGTGGGTCCCATGCTCCCACTCTAAGGTTGACGTCAGTGCACGCGATACAGGTGTGAGAGGGTTGGGCATGAGGTGTACTACCAGTCAAGTGTTTTCATCTGTTTGTGGTAGGCGATGGGACACGCCATAGCTGAAAGAATTGATGAGTTCATCGGCAAACTGAAGGACCTAAAGAGGCTGGCTTCCCCGTTCACTCTGGTAAGTATTGAGTGATTGCGATTGTTTTCAGTATAAGGAGGGAAGGGCGAGGCCATGGACACTGATTTATCCCTCTAACTTCAAGAGTTCAGGGTCCTCCTTGACTCCATAGCAAGTTCTTGGCCAGGCGGGGCTACACTGAAGCCCAGCCTCAAATACAGAGCAACAGAAAACTGACTATGATTTTATATGTGGTCTGGTGGTAGATGGAGATTATGCCTGGTTTGTTTTACTCTCTCCTCACCTGTCTGTTAGATCATTGATGATCCCTCGGGAAACAGCTTTGTAGAAAACCCACATGCTCCCCAGAAAGATGATGCCTTGGTGATCACACACTACAACCGAACCCCACAGCAAGCCGAGATGCTGGGGCTCCAAGTAAGTGGACTGAAGGAGTCAGAGGAATGCTCGGGGGTTGGCCTGCGTTCTGGGTTGCTTGAAGTCACTACAAATGTACTTTGCTATTGTCACCAACACCACCTGGCGGCACCCTATCTGAGTTCACTTGTGCCTCTCATCAAGCTCAGTTAGGATTTGTGGTGACCTTCATGAGTCAGGTAGCAGTCATGGGACTCTGTCTTGAGTCCTGTCCTTCCTATGAGTTGGCGCCTTATAGGGAACAAAGGCATTCTCTCCCTCTCTGAGCAGGGCAGGGTGTTGGAATGCTGAGGTCTACCTGTCAGCTTGTGGTTTGTGCTTCTGTTCTTTTAGGCAGAAGTACCAGAAGAGAAGTCAGAAGAGGAAGATCTCAGAAATGAAGTGAGTTGTTTTGGCTCCTTTTGAAGACATAGCAGATTTGTGGGCTGAGTCTCATGGAGTCCAGTGTCTTTCATTGTCACAACTAATATGGGTGACCTCCAGCATATCAGCTGAATGTCTTTAGCTTCCATGGGTGGGAGTGCTCAACCTGTG